TATGGAGATTTCCGAGGTTCCTGATGTACAGTAATATGAGCCGTCAAGGGTCCGCGATTCCAAGCAAACGGAGCTATGTTATGTGCAGTGGGAGCTCTTTAATTACCTAGGCAATTGGACAGAGACCCTTTACCTGACAAACGTCGAGGCTGGATCTGCAGCTCGGCAGGACAGGACTGAATGCCGAGGCAATGTTTTGGTAAGTTTCGCGCCCATGTCCTCCCATAAGTGTGACTGTAACACTGATCGTGCGCAAACAGTCTTCCCTTAGCATTTTAGTGCAACGGAAGTCGGTTCACCTACAGGTCCGTATGATATTGCGAAGCCTCACGTCGATGCTGGTTACCAGATTCGGATACGCCAACATCCCGCGGTAAAGTCTGGGGGCGACCGGTGAACGCTCGAAGTATCTATAGGAAATTGAAGTCATGAACGAAGTCGCCCGGATGGTCGCGAAAATCATGAAATTGTAGTGGTAGGCACGGGATATAGGATGCATGGTGGGGTACTTCTGGAAGCATACTTAGAAAAGTACCGCGCCCGCACGAACAAATGGAGGCAGGCCTCGTAAGGAGCGTTTAGACATGATTTGCAGATACGTGGAAGCCTGAATTAGTTCAGTTATCAGGCGGCTCTATCTTACACCGCTCATCTGAGTCCCCTGCGAACGTGAGTCTCGGCGAGAGCAACGGTATCAATACGCAGTCGCAACGAGGAGTAAGGCCTCTAGTACGAGCCACGCATCATCTGATCCGCATCTTGTCCAGGGTATAACGTGAATGGCCCATCTACGGCCTCTAGTATTGATAATCGGACGCTGGCTGAATAAGATATGAAACGAGACATCTGCTAGTCCTGCTATGGTTGGGGCTTACGAAGACGATCAAAAGATTAGCAATGCTACATTCAACGCACTCATAAAGTGACGCCGGGGTGGTCGATTCTGTCAACACCTCAATCTGTAACGTCTCCCGATGGCTGCGAAGACGAATATATTACTTATCGGCGCGACAGGTATGGTACCCGCGGACATAGTACACACGGTACTAACCATGTATTCTGCAGGGTATCTCGGGGGGACCGTCCTGCAGCGCTTGCTTTCACATCCCGAAAGAGCGTCGTTCAGCATCAGCGTGCTGGTCCGCAATACCGAGAAAGCGAAGCTGCTCGAGACATTCGGCGTGGAGACTATCATTGGCTCCCTCTCCGACTTAGACAAGTTGGAAAAGGCTGCATCCTCCGCTGATGTGGTCTTTGCTATTGTAAGCACAGATCTAGAGTGAACTATCTTGAACGCACTAATGCACGCCGCAATGCACCAGGCCGACTGTGACGATCTGAACGCCGCTAAGGCGATCCTCGCAGGCCTGAAGCAGAGACACGCCAAGACGGGCAAGCAGCCAATTCTGATTCATACCGTAAGTTAGTATGCACGCGACGCGCGAGCTCGTTCGTTGATCCGATGACTTTCCTGTTGTAGTCAGGAACCGGTATGGTCATGTCGCAACGCACGGACGTCATTAACTCATAGTCGACTTGTCCCAGGCGTCCTAGTCGATGGCGCGCAAGGCGATCACGCCACCGACATTGTCTACTCTGACCTTGATATTCCTTTGATTGAGAGTTTGAAGCCTACCCAGATCCATAGACCGGTTGATATCGTGATCGCGGAAGCCGGAAACGAAGGTCAGTCCTACATAGCGCCCATCTCCCCGCACGTTTTCTCAGCCGATTGATCAGGATATGCTCGAACACATATCATACTACCGTCTATGATCTTCGGGCTGGGAAACGGCCCCCTGTTTGAGAAAGGCATCTGCAATCGGCATTCGATGGCGATACCTGCCTTGCTTCAGCTGGGCTGGCGCAGAGGCCAAAGTGGCGTCTGTGGTTCAGGGAAGAACCTATGGCCCCTTATCGACGTTGATGATAGTGAGCTGCTTCTTTATGATATGAAGAGCCGAAGTCCTTACCGTCTTGTATAGCCGCGGATTTGTATATTGTTCTCTTCGACGCAGCCAGGAAAGACGCAAGTGTTGCGCATGGCCGCGGGGGCTATTACTTCGCCGAGAACGGACACTTCACGCAGTACGAACTCGCCAAAGCCGTTGGCAAGGTCCTGGTGGAATTAGGTCGGGCCAAGAGTGCAGAGCCTACACCTTTCACCGCGGAGGAGTTGGACAAATATCCGGTGGTGCGTTTGTGGTTCTAGCTCTCTGAAGGAACTCCGGCTAATGAATGCGCGGAGCAGACCAGATTCCTCGGTATGAATGCAGTCTGTAAGGCCGAGCGCCCCCGCGCGCTAGGTTGGAAACCAACGAAGACCAAGCAGGACATGCTTGATGGTATTAAGCCCGAGGCAGAGGTGATGATCAAGAGTGGCCTGATCGAGACGCCTATGTGAGGATGGGTTAGGTCGATACTTGGGGTACAGGGCCAGTATCCAGTCGAGTAGCATCATACGGGAGTGTCACTTAGTGCCTAATCTATATTCGAAACCCAATGGTGTCATCGGCAATCCATGCAGGTGGGATCAGGAATGCACCGAAGAGTGCCATACGGCAGAGAATGGCGATAAACCTACCAGTAGTGATGATTAGCACCGTACAACCCGACGTCTGATCTCTGCCAAAATCAGGCTGAGGTGGGTAGTAGCTATGGATTGTGGCCAAGCGACCCTCGAGGAAGGATTTGAGGCAGAAAATATTTCGCAAGGAATGCCCTCAGGATTCTAGGTGTACTTATGCCGCAGTAAACGTCCGATGGGTCCGGATTCGCAAGCCTCAACCTGATGTCAAGACAAGCACCGACAGTACTAGTGTTCGAAGGCGGGTCGTCATAGCCAAAAGTCAGCAATTAATAGCTCTTTATTCCAACGCAAGAATCCGAAACAAAGTCGAAAACAAACGCCTCAATCGGAGGCGAGGCACGAGGATGAAAAGAGGCGAATCGCATGAACTCGCGGCGCTTGTTCCCGGTCTGCTGCTTGCCTCCCGATCATCCTCGATATCAACTGGCCCTCGACGACTGACGTCTCTGGTATTGCCAGCGCTCTAGTAATTAACTCTCACTCACTATAAGCTTCTGTTTGTTATGCGTTCTCTTGTAGTCGATCGTAAGGCTGAAGTCTTCTGCGGGCGTGGGAGGTCCAAGCTCGAGATAGCATCTCTAATGCCCTCAGAGGACTTAAACCTGAAAGCGACGTAATCTTAAGGACCGCAACATAACTTTCGAAGCCTGGAAGTGTCTGACAGTGCTACGACGACCGCTTCATCATGCCATCGGACAAAGTCGACCTTCTCATTTTGGGCGCCGGTTGGACCTCGACGTTTCTCATCCCACTATGCAGTGAACGACAAATCTCGTACGCAGCGACTACCCGGGATGGTCGTGAAGGCACTATACCGTTCATATTCGATCCCGAGTCTGACGACACAACACCGTTCTCGTCGTTGCCCCACGCTGATACTGTGCTGATCGTCTTCCCAATTCGAATCAGCGGGGGATCGGAGAGGTTAGTTAGGGACTATCAGAAGACGCATAATGGGGCGAGAACGGGGTTCATTCAACTGGGGTCAACAGGGATATGGGACGTACGTGCTGCTATTCGCCTATCGCCCTTTATACTCATCGTCTTCTAGAAAGGACCTACTCTGAAGTCCGATACACAAGTACATACTGCAGAAATTCAACCGAACACTGTCTGGCATGACAGGCACTCTCCATTCGACTCCTCCAACCCTCGTGCACAGGCCGAGACAGAGCTGATAACCCTTTCGCCCGATACGCCAACGACAGTGCTCAATCTGTGCGGTCTTTGGGGCGGGAGCAGACACCCGCGGAACTGGGTGAACCGTGTTGCCCCTACGAAGGAAGCCCTCAAGGCTAAGGTACGCTATAACACTGTTATCACCATATACGCATGCTCAACCGATATACAGGGCAGCATCCACCTGATCCACGGCCTCGACGTCGCCCGGGCAATCTTGGCAGTCCACTCCCAGTTTTCCAAGGCCGCAGGCGAGCGCTGGCTCCTCACCGACGAGCGCGTGTACGACTGGTGGGACCTCGCGTCCGCATGGGGGTCCGGCGGCCTCTCCGAAAAGGGGGAGTCCCCGAGCGGGCCGCAGCCTGGATGGGTGCAGGAGCTGATGGAGGAAGGCGGTATCAAGGCGTTGCCGAGGAGCCCTGAGCAGATCGGGCGGGCGCTGGATGGGAGGGAGTTTTGGAGGACGTTCGGGCTGTCCCCGGTGAAAGCGAGGCTAGAAGATTGAGTCGTGGTCTTTCGAGTAAGTCTGTCTCGGGTATCTGGTACTTAAGCTTGTGTGTAGCACCGGGATATCGCAGCTTCTTGTGGGCCGCGTCGACGTCGTATTCTTCACGTCTCCTCTGAGCGATCCCATGCGCGTGACAGAAGGCGACCTAATTTCTTTTGCTTGAGAAACTGTTCCCAAACCCGGGACGAATGTGACAGACGTCTATAGATTACAGTGTCGCCGCAAAGGGGGCATTCAAGGTCGCTATGTGATGTGTACTATAGCCAAACTCTGCGGGCCTGGGTATGTTCAAGCCCCTCACTCATCCGTGGTGATATTATGGCGGGCAACGGATTGTGAGTACTCTTCCGTCACAATTCTCAAGCAGCATTGCTTCACGTCCGGATAGAGCATAGAAAACAGCCATGCAGGCCCGAGCAAAGTCCAGTAACAAATATTCTTCATTGGCGTGGATAGACAGGTTTCCAAAATGGCCGCCGACACCGGGGAACCTGAGGTGTACGGTATACCAATTGCAGGAGCTCGAATACCACAGAGACGAAGGAGACAATAACGCGAGGATGCTGTCCGCATTATTCATCTTCCCAAGTCTGCAGAAATCGTCCCTTGATCACGATAACTGTGACCTACGTGATTAGGTGTTGCTCCGGTGAACTCCCTACCTCTGGAATTCAAATCTGTCGGCCCCTCAAGGAGCGTTGACAGCCGATAATCCAGCAGCTGCCGTTGCCCAGACGGCAGTGCTTCTCGGGCCTACTATCCGCTTTGCCAGTGCTGCCCACGGGGAATTCCTGACCTTTATCTCCACGTGGGCTAGAGCGGATCAACTTGATTGTTCTATTGCCGGATAACGATACCATCCTATCCAAGATGATGATACTGTGAAATGGTGAGTAGCCCCGAATGCCACTGCCCGAGTGAATGATGCTGCCCTACATATCCGCCGAACCCAAAAGCAATGGCACTGATATAGGCGGACGAGCTGTACGCCCACAACCCACACTTCAACATATGCTGACTGTTTTAATTTCCTCAAATTTCCGCAGTGAAATCTTGCTTTCACGTAAAAATGGACGTTTCGGAAGGAAATGAGAAGGTCGCTGCAGTAGATCAGACGAGAGGTGCTCGAGACAAACGAGCAGCAGTATTCATTTGAATAGTCGTAAAATCCACGTACACCATTTCCTCCGAGCCAAGCACGTACGTAAGTGACATAGATTTCAAAGCGGAATTAATCAGCACTGGCCGAGGTTTCCGGTCTTGGGTAATGTAGAAACTGATCACTCGATGAGCTTACCAAGCGACTGCCGCAAAACATGTTAAAACCCACTGTGTGTAGGCAATTGTACCCCACCGACTTCGCGCTTGCAGGATGCCCTCAGACAAGCGGTTCACGCTATACACTCACAAGGTACGTATTCCGTCAAGCCTCAATGAGTTCTGAGTACTGACTCCGATGCAGCTGGGCCCTAATGGGTGGAAGGTCTCGATGTTGCTCGAGGAGCTTGGTTTATCGAACGAGACCGATGTCAAGTTCCTTGAGTTTGACAAGAAAGAGCACAAGCAAGCTCCTCATATCGAACTGAATCCTAACGGACGTATCCCTACATTGGTCGATCACGGGTCTGTCGTTTGCTTCTGTCAGACATCTCACTGTTAACCCCAAAAGGTAATAGAAACGATGACTTCGCCGTATGGGAGTCAGACGCCATCCTCCTGTATCTGGTTGAAAAATACGATAAAGATGGAAAATTTGCTTTGCCTGACGCAAACGATAAGGTATGACCATCCAATATACTCAATTGCAAGTATGTGAGAGTTAATAAAACTACGATGACTGCAAGTTTCTCCAGCTGCAATGGCTGTTCTTCCAAGCTTCCGGCCAAGGCCCTTACTTTGGGCAGGTGATTATGAATCTTACAGGTGGTCAACGAATATTCAAATCACTCTTTTAGGGTAACCATTTCTTGTTCAGCCATCCGGCCGTGTAAGTATAACTTCTCCGAAGTCCCCGTGCGACCTGATTTATGACTCGGACATCTCTGTCACAGGCTACCGACCGCTGTCAAACGCTACCAAGATGAAGCTCAGCGAGTTATCAATGTGCTCGAGTCAGTATTGAGCAAACAGGAGTGGCTTGTAGGAGGCAAGTTCGGCATCACCGACATTGTAAGTCTGTCCTTCCGCCCTTCCGCCTCCTCATGGTTTCTCACTTCGCCGCTTGGAGGCTCTATTCCCTTGGCATGACATCGCCTTAAAAGTACTATTTTCTCCGGGGTCATACAATCCTGAGAAAGAAGCACCCCATGTCCATGCTTGGTACAAGAGGGTATCGGAGCGACCTGCGATCAAGAAAGTATGGGACGAGCACGAGAGATATGTACAGGAATCTGGGCTCACCGCGGTGGTGGCTGCTGCCCACAAACGGGTGATAGATGCTGCAAGTCAAACTTAGTAGGAACAAATTCTTCTGTAGCTCCTTGAATGTATTCTTTGTGCTAGTACGTATCTCTTGTGGAGGCAAGTACCGGTAGAGACTGTGCAAACAATGCAACCACGCTGGATTGTCTCGCGTGCCACCGAGGCCCTGAGATTTTCCATATCATGTAAAATAGGAGACACGCATAGCTGCAAATGTGATTGGTGATACGAAGGCGTCCTGGGCTCCTCCCGCCATTTCATGCACACTGTACGCTGCCACACGTGTGGCGCGAGAGCCTCCAAAGGCAAATATGGCCAAACACGGCCCGGACTTGTTTGTTCAAAATCCCTCCTGCTTACCTGCAGAGACGTCCATCTGTGACTCAGACAGGTACTTCGTGTCCTGCAGTATAATAACTAGTCCCAGTAACTTGATTGGAACCTCGCCACATCAACAGACCCGTAAGTTCCATCCTGGCGTCCAAGCGAGCCACATCTTACAAAAGCTCTCAGGAAAGCCATGCAAACCATGGGAAGCGCTCGGTTGCAGCCCTACAGCAATGCCACTTCACTGTCACCCATAGAGGACTTGCCAACCGAGATACTTACCATAATACTGTCTATGGTCCTTGCGGAAATGAGACATGCCAGACATGGCGCGGAGCCACAGATGAATGAGTGGTTCAAACTGACCCAAGTCAATACCCGTTGGCGGGACACCATTCTTTCTAATTACAGACTCATCCAGCCAATAATCGCCACCACACCTCGAGCAACAAGAGGTTTAATCTCCCTATGTCGGAAGTACGGTACTCCGGTGACGGTACGGGGCGATTTGACTCGGAATAACTTCAAGACTGAGTGCAAGATCTTCTCGAGAATGATGGAGAACCCGTGCAACATCCAAAAGTTGGAACTCACCGTGTCTACAGCCTTGCTGCGAGCTTGGGCCAGTCACGTACACATTTGTGGGAAACATGGGATGACGATGTTGGAGGATCTCATGCTTGCACGCCCGACTACAGATCTAGACGACGAGGATGAAAGTATGCTCCTCCTCCCGTTCGCGTCTCCAGCAATCCATAAAGTCTTCCTGGACCACTTTGGGTTCGATGCGCTCAGGCCACTCCTGAGTAGCTCGACCACCCACCTTCATCTCCAAGGTGACCAGGTCATCTCTACGACGGACGCAATTCGCATGCTGCAGCAGACCCCAAACTTGCTTCATCTGTCTATCTGGTGTTCTCTGAGCGACCAAGGAGCGCTCGTACAGAGAGCAGTACTTCCGGAACTGAGGACGCTGAACTTGTACCTCACCAGTGCCGCTGAAGGCGAATTCGTGTTATTTATCGACACGCCGACGCTGGACTGGATCGATATTATGCTCTGGTCACCAGAGGATGACAGGGTGCTGTCTGGAATCATGGCGTGTGTGGAGCACTTGGCAAACATGAATGCGGTGGCCCGCGGATACAAGGCGTGTACACTTCATCAGCGGGGTCGGCAAAGGATCGAGCTCTTCTTGACGGATGAGCTCTACTCCCGTGGAACAGTGCTGCCAGAAAGAGGTGTGCGTCTTGTCTTCGACAACTTTGAAGAGGGGCGCGAAGACATAATCCTTTCGCTCGTGGCGGACAGGCTCGGATCAACTCTACACCGCATTACACAAGTCAATGTGGAGGACGGGCTCGAGGATGATGATACCCAAGACTTTTTGTACTCAGCTGCAGCACTGGAGGCCTGGAGAATTCTGTTCTCCCATCTTCCCCGTGTGGAGCACCTTCGTTTGACGGGAGAAGGAGCACAGGCACTTCCATCCGGACTGTTCCAATACAATAATGTGTTGGAGATGTGGTGTCCCGTCTTCTACAGACTGAGCTCACTTGAGCTTGACTGGGTATGGTTCCGGGATGACCCCGAGGTGGACGATGACCACGGATTCTTAGCGGACCTGCTAAGATCATTTGAGTATCGCCGAAATGCGAACTACACAAATAAGCTTACAATAACCAACGGGATCAACATCTTCAAAGAGGATGTTGACGCATTGCGTTTAGTCTTTCGGGAAGTTACCTGGGACGAAGAATGTGATGATCAGACAACTACCGAGGGAGGTGAACTGGCATGTACAGGTGAAGAGCATGACATAGAAAGTGAGCAGCAGGGTGTTATGGTGTGAGCGATTGAGGATATGGTGACCGGAGCCTTGGTAGTACCTTGTACCCGTCAATGAGAAGATACGTCTCTCCAATTTCTTGCTTGGGAACCAAGAGAAACCGTACACCACCCAAGTCGCATTGATACTGGTAGACATACGATAAGAAATAAATGACAGAAAATATGTCTGATTTGAGGATATGCCGTTGCTGCAGGGACGTTTTGAAGATTGCATTTAACGTCGTGGGAGCATAGGCATTGCTGCCCGTCTGGTCTGGAGACTTGGAGATGTTCAGATCAGAGCGGTCTTCTCCCAGTGTGGTCGATGACTTCTAAGTATACAAGAGCTTGCAGAAAAGCTAACAAATCTCGAGATGACAGTGAAGACTTCGATATAATCAGATGGTGGACCATAATAGGAGAGACGGCATTTTCCGAGCACTTTGAAGGACGTATTTGCCACAAAGTCACAACACAAACATCGTCCCGAAAATCTCTGCAGCCTCCCGCAATGCCAGATGGGCCCTATGCGATATCTCAGGCCTCAGATATCAGCTGTTGGTCATGGTTAACACTACACGACACATGACAGACTCGGAGTGCTCATTTCGACGGCGAAGTTACGAGTGGCTCAGGATCAACCCGTAATCCGTTCCTCCCACAAGTGCTCTCATAAATTTTTCCAGTGCTTTCCAGTCGTGCAGTACAATGAGGAACACAATCGTATAAGAAATAGAGACCAAGTAATGACTTCATGATGAAGTGGTCTAATGGCGCCCACAGGGAACTCCGGATCACCAACTAAAGACGATAAGGTAACAGACTCAGATCTCAGATCTTGGTAGGGTCAAATCCCAACGGAACATAATAATTCTGCGTGTGGTGGGCTGTGACAAGCCACTCGCCCAAGCTTGAAGGTTCAACCAGCGTAAGCGCCGTGATGATTGCCACAACTACATTCAATCAACGCGCCACAGGTGGCAGCGCTTGGCATCTCGCTTATACCATCTCAGTGCTGTTTCTGCTCCTCACTTACACCGTTTCAGTAAAACTATCTTACTCTTTAACAAGCAGCGACGACACAACAGAAAGGCTACTGATTTACCTAACCATGCCCATGTTATCCCGAGTCCAGGTGCGTATGCCGCTACTCGTCCGTCCCCACATTTCCCTCATATATATTCTCCGCAGGACTCGTACAGGTCTTCCTCGACCGTTTCTCTCCCGGCGGAAATCATGGTCATGATCCTCGTCCATGCTATTGCAGAAGAGAAGGCCGCTGCGAAGGCGGAGGGATGCTCGCCACATTCGTGGATGAAATATCTCCACATCTGTGGGACATGGCGAGATCTACTACATACTGTGTCGACCATCTGGGATGACATCGAGGCCACGAACTCGGAAGTGGCGGAATACATGCTGACTCGGCTCGAGCTCGAAATCCAGCAGTAACAGCTGACTTCCACGAACCCTGCGACGTGGATGTAGGCAGCACAGGCGACAAGGTTCTAAGGGTGCTGAAGAAAGAGTCGTCGCATATCAGATCCTTGAAGCTTGTCATGCCTGGAGAGATGTGGCAACGCCTGGGACAGTGTGCCGCGCCTTGGTCCTTCGAGCGCTTGGAGTTCCTGCGGATCGAGGCACCGATGATGGAGGGCAGTCCCACCCATTTGCCATTCCTCGCTCCGGATCTGCAACACCTGCGTTCTGAAGGGTTCGTGCCGGCGGCAGTCAAGCAAGCACTTTCTCCAAACCTAAGAACGCTGGCCATCCATTGTTTCGATTTTACACAAATGGCAGATGTCATGGCAGTCTTGCAGGCCGTTCCAAGGGTGGAGAAGCTGGCCATGATGTTTCGTTGGGAAGAGGACGCGCACGACGGCGGAATTGCACAGATGGCGATACTCCCATCCTTGACAAACTTGGACTTTTTTATCTTCAGCACGAAGCATATCGAACTTCTTGCCTCTCTCCACTATCCCGATTCGGCTTTCCAGGCTTTTCACTTAGTGCCATATGACTGGTCGACGTCTGAACTAATTGAAGGGCTGAGTCGAACCGCTAACGAGGTCATAGGGAAGCACAACCTTCGTCATTGTACTTTCCGTACCCTGAAGCCCAAAGGATTACTGATCAGCTTTTCAAGGCTGCCAAAGGTTGCAATAGCACAGTGGCCACAATTCTCGATGACACTTCTCCACTATCAAGTTGAGGAAGAGGCCGGAATTATGGATAAGCTCGCCGAATATTTTGGCCCTTCTTTCGCCGCCATTGAGAACCTCTCATTCGAAGAACTGGCGGTCCGCTCGACAGCCAGTCTGGATTCATGGAAGGTACTATTTTGAGCCATGCCCAGGGTAATCAAGTGGGAGGTCCTCAAAGAGGCAGAGGCGAACTCCCGGGCAACCGAAGTACTCAACCAGATGCTATTCGATGAGGTTCGGAGTATGGTATCCAACAGGTTGGGGGGGTACGACAGTGAAAAAGACCCGGAAGAGTTCGACGGATGAGCGGGTAGGATGGGGACGCGAATTGCGGGTTTTATTGTACGTTGTTGTACCTTTAGTCGGCATATCGTGTGTCAGAAGGAAGTGGACAAAGCCTGCCTGTGATGTGCAGTGATCTTGTACTCTTATGAATCGACTGAACCCAGTAATTACAGAGTTTGATGACTCGCCAAGTGCCTCCTTTGCCATAACGAGGGTAAGAAAGGACGAAAATAGCCATTAGTACCGAAATGAGGAGCGCTCTCATCACTAGACGGTTCTGATATGCCATCACTTCCTTCTGTTGAAGGTCCCAACTGCGATGACTGGTGATTGCTAGGGGACACCATGTAGGCTATGTCAAGGAATTTACGCTTAAAACGGGTGTAAGTATGCCAAAGAGAACCGCTCAGCAACCAAAGGCGAGTAGTTAGCTGCGGAAGGCAACGCACTCTCATTGTACCCGGTTACTTCCAGCTTCGTGAAGGACTCGACAGCACATGCAGATGTATCCTGCTATGAAGTCTTAGCTCATTATGATAGCTAATGGTGGATTACACATCGTTGTCTCTCATACATTATTCCGCAAATGAGACAATACCTTTCTGTCCTTCGGAGCGACGTCCGCTTCACACTAATTTGCACAACTTTACAGTGTCTGCCCAGAGGGACCTAACATATGTATTTTAGCACTGGACACCGGCAGAAGAAGGTGGGTTCTCCTCACATCTCTCGTCTATACGCTGCGATTATCCAAGCCTAACGATGGACATCATGCGTGCCACAGAGAAACGTGGGAGACGCCACCCATCAAGCGTCTAACAAATGCAAACACAGCGTTGAGTAGCTTAGCCACATCTTCAACTTGACATGCGCTTGACACCTGAGCGGCGCTTGCAACCTACGACAGATTCCGTGCTGTCCTCTTCCCGTTCGACATCACAGGCGATGTCTCGAGTATCAAGAAGTCCGGCAATACCTGCGTTATTGCAACAACAGGTCAGTCATCCACCAGCCTATTTCATAATTTCTACCTCACACACCTACTCTTAATTACAGCCACAGAATTCCTACAGGTTGGCAACAATCAGCCGTCTTCCAGCAGAGACCATGGTCGCAATTCTGGTGCTTGCCGTTGCGGAAGAGAAGGCCGCAGCAGAGAAAGAAGGACACTCGCCACATTCCTGGATGAGGTATCTCCACGTTTGTGGCACCTGGCGCAACCTCCTGCAAAACAAGTCGAGTATCTACGAGTACGGCGAAGCAACATGCGAAGGGATTCTAAGGGTGCTGAAGGGGGAGTCCTCGCGCATCAGGGCATTGGACCTCACCATGCCTATGGAAATGTGGCTGTCGCTCTGCCATGGCAAGCCGAAGCTTTGGATGTTTGACCAGCTGGAGTCTCTGGTCGTGACTATGCCTACGTTTTGGTATACCCATGCCGCAATACCGTTCATGGTCCCGAAGTTGCAGGAGCTTCGCACGAATGGATTCGACCTATCTGCCATCCAGCCACTCATAGGTCCGAGCCTGAAGATGCTTGTCATCAGAGATGAAGAACCTACGCGAAAAAGTGACGTCCTCGCGGCACTACGGGCGGCTCCTCATCTAGAAAATCTTACCCTCAACGTTCGTTTCTGGAGCGGCATCGATGACTCGAGGAATCCGCCAAGCGTAGAACTTCCTTGCCTGAAATACGTCAGGGTGTACATCGAGAGCGAGGAGCACATTGAGCTTCTTCCGCTTCTCCGGTATCCAGACACGGCCTCGACCACCTTCGAGCTGGACTGCACAAGATACTGGGAGGAGTCGACACTAGTTAGCGACGTCGGTCATATCGCCAACGAGGTCATATTGAAGCAGGGACTTCGCCGCTGCCTTATCAGCAAATTCTCCACGTCGAGCTTCAAGATCGCATTCTCTAGGTTGACGGACGGCTCGGGTGGCATGACAGGGGGCAAAGAATTCACACTTGCCCTGAGAGGCTGCTGCAACGCCGACGTGGAGACCAGTATCATGAAGCAACTCGCCGAACACTTCGGGCCTTCGCTTGCGGCAATCGAGCAGTTGCAGCTCTATAGGCTGTCCATCCGGACACGAACGAGCGCCCGCGCATGGAATATCCTGTTCCGAGCCATGGCCAGGGTATACGAGCTGGAGGCGATTAGGACCACAGCAGCGCGCTTCCTAGCTGAATTCCTGATTACCCTTCGGACCGGAGAGACAGACACCGCCGAGAGGGTGTTCTGGAAACTCAAGAACGTCACATTGAGCCAGGTGCTATTTGGCCCGACATATCCAGATGCCGAGAGCGATGCATCTTTCCAAAACCTACTAAGGTTTGCTCAAATCCTTCACGCAGGAAAAAAGAGCGCAAACCTTACTATCATGGACGGCATAAATCTCCCAGCCGCGGATGTTGAGCGTGTGCGGGTGATTATGAGAGGCCTCCGATGGGGTGGGCAGATTGTCGTGAAGGGATAGGACCGGCATCAAGGGTGAGAGGATAATGCCAGACTAGACGATAAGAGGTGAAAAGAGAGGGTGCGATGTCAACCAAGACCGCGATCATC